CTGCTATAGTAAAGGTAAACTTTGCTTCTCTCCCCATGCCTTTTTTTTTTGGTTGTTTTTGGTGTTTTTTTTTTTTTTTTGTTTGGCGGTTGCTTTGTTTTTGTTTGTTTGTTGTTTTTTCTTTTCTCCCAGAAGCCAAAAAGTGTCAAATGCTTGTTTTCTCCACACACCACTGTGTGTGAAACTTGCCTTAAACAGGTTGGTGGAGGCAGATAGGTACCTATTAGATACACACAGTGTTCATATCTGTCTATTGAACCACACAGCAAGTCTTTTAAAACTACTTTTGGTACAGATCTATTTTCTTAGTAGTTTTTATTGACCTTTAGAAATGTAACTGCTTCTGCAAGTCCCTATTTTTTTTTTTTTTTTCCTCTTGCAGTACCTAACTCAAGTAAATGCCTGCTTTTTGTTAATGACCTTTGGAATGCTGCCATGATTCCCAGGGTCCCAGAGTCTTGGTTTAACAGCATGCAGATAAATCCTTTTTAACCATCCTAAGTGAGGCAGCTTGGGGCTAATAACAGTGTAATACTTGGATTTGGGGGGAATAAATAACTCTTGAGTGCTTACTACTAGCCTGGAGTGATAAGTAGATCTCTGGTACCATTCTTGTGAAGAGTATAATGGTAGTTGAGTATGTACAACTGCTGTGTTCTCTTCTGACAGCCTACCAGGTACTGGTCTGCTTGGACTTTATCCCTTCATAAACACCAAGTAAAGCTGAAGTTCCCCTGCTCAGCTTGCTGGATTTATAGCAACTCTCAAGATGAGGTATTGCAGCAATGTGGTAGCTCTCAGGCTAATGAGATGCTGTTGGTGCAGAAGTGAAGTTTAAGACATTTTTAAGAGGTCTTCCTTTTTGACTTGGCCTTCATTGACAACTGTGCAGTACTAAACTATGCTTGCTGGTTTAAGCTCACAGTTTGTTAATATACACTTACTTGCTGTAAATGAGAACTCTCCTTTAAGTTGCTGTTAGGTCCAGAATGACAAACTACTCTTGTGCAAGGAAGTGCTTAAAAGGACCATCTTGAAGCAGTAAAACCAGGTGTTTTTCTCAATCTTCCTATTCTAAAATAAGCACTTCTGTACTGTTTAACAGTCTGACCTTCAGGGTTACAGTCTTCCCTATTTCCCACAGAGATCAACATGCCTTTTTGAGCTGGTTCCTTTGTGGTAAATGTAATTTTGTAGTTGATTCTGAAACATCACTGGGAATGAAGCAAAATGTAATTTGAACTAATATTTAGACAAGTCTTCCCCTCACCTTTAAAAAAAAAAGTGAAAGATGAGTAGAAACAACGGTGATGATATGTGACATCATAGCTGTTCATGAGAAACATAATGCACAGTGGGGAGCACCAAGTGAAGCTCAAATTGATGTGTAACTTCTGAGGCTGGAGCTGTTGAAGATTCTCTTAAATTTTTTGTAATCCAATGTCACTGATCCTGCAGTATGATTTTGAAGCTAGTCCTCATCATCCAAAGCATGTTTTGATTTCAGATAAATCCTGTTCTGGCTAAGCTGTTGAAAGGCAGGCACGCTTTGCACTTCTCTGTTGCATTATGTAGCTCTGTGGTACCTGCAGGTTGATGTGGATTTCTTACATGATGTGTAACACCGAAGCTTCTTAAGCCCCTACAATGAAAGTAGAACTTAACATTTGAGAGAGGAGTCTTTTGCAAGAATTGCTGTAGTGTAGTGGTGGGTGTCTTGGCTTGTATGTGCTATAGAGGATACTCTTACAAAGAGCTGTTGTAGATCACTAGGTAACTGGGAGAGGCTGTGTAGGGAGGATCCTGACTGAGTTTTGGGGCAGCAATGCCAGACTGGAAGAACTACAAAATATCAGGAAACTCCTGTAAGATGTAAAGAGTGACACTTGTAGAGAGTGCACTTACTTAACCTGTTGTTAGTAGGAAGCTGAGATCTGAACTGGTAGCAAAAGTTACTCAAGTTATCCTGTAATCCTTACAGGATAGGTGTCTCTCCTTTAGATGGCCCAAACTTTGCATGTGAAAAGTAAAAGTTATTGGTAAAGGGAAGCAGGAGTGTAGTGAAGGAGCTTCATCTTTGAGTAAGTTCTTAAGTGTGCGGTCACTTAAGGTCACCATGCACACACGCACTAAAATTATGTCAAAAGTAGTTGGACCTTTTCTCTGAGTCTATGTAATGTGGGTCATTCAACAGTCCTTAAATTAGCCCAGTTTCACTCGTAATCCATATTTGGACCAAGTTCCCTCTCAGAGGATGCCTAATTCTCTCCTGTCCTGGTTACTTCTGTGTAATTTCTAGGACGTTTTGTTTCTTATCTCAGCTGTCACCAGCACAGTGAAGCAGGCACTGAGATCTTGTTTTCATGCTTGGTAATGAACTGTGCATTGTTCATATGTATCCTTATCAGGCTCTGACTCTTGCAATAAACACAGGTGTTGAAACACCATAGCTTTTTCAGGTATCCTTTGCAAAATGAAAAGGTAATAGGTGCAGCACTAAACACACAAACTCTTCCAATGTAACCTGTAGCAGAGAATAAACTATGGATTCTTCACTGAAGTCTGCTTGGATTTTTGTCACACTGGCACTTGTGCTAAGGACAGAGTAGTGGGATACGTGGTAGGGAAGAAGCATCTGCAAAGCTCATGTGACAGAGGCTGTTCTGTGGAGGTACTGTGAGGTAGTCTTCCAGCAGTGGCTCTGTGCAGCCAGTTTGTGATGCGTATTTCTTCAGGTGTTGGTGTCCTGCAGATAGCAAGGTAAGAAAGAATTCCCTCCCAGTCTACCAGGGAGTGCTCAGTGTTTTAACAGGAGCTGTGTTTTTGTTAAAACTTGCACCATTTTCCTGTTTATGATTAATGTTGCACTGTTTAAAAACCTGGTGCTGAAAACCACTGAGCAAAACTGCATACATTAAATTAGCTCATTCAGCCTTCTTAAATTCTGAAGGTATAACAGTTTTTTCCCTTGGCATATTAACTTTAACTACAGCAACCAGTAAATAGGGAAAATGGAGTCTTTTTTTTTTTTTCTTTTTAAGATAGGGGAGTTGCTACTACTTACCAACATTTTATTTATTTTTTTTTATATAACATAAAACTGGGGATCACAGGAATATATTTGCCTTCTGGCAGTGTGAGTGTTGCATTTTAACAGGCAGCATTTTTTGGGAGTGCTGTTTAGCCAACTGTATGAAATAAAGCAAAATTTAAAACTGTGCTTAGCATTTTATAGTCTTGCTGGAGTATCTGACTTGTACAAGTGAAACGGGCTAATTTTAAGGTTGCAGGGCTAAGGCACAGTACTTATGCAGAAAATAATGCACTTTCCAAAAAGGCATAAGTAGATCACCCTACCTAAGTGGCATGCTAAAATATTAAAGGCTAGCCACTCTCCTAGACTACTTTGCAGGCCTTGGTACTCCATGCTTTGAAGCTAAACCATTTCCTTAAATTCTGCTGCTGGGATAAAAATCCATTCCTTCAGATCAAGCAGCAGAGTTGAAGTCAGTGCCACATTCCCACCGCACAGGGAGATAGGTTGCAGAGGGACAGTCTTACAGTAGCAAACAGCCAAAGGGCTTTTATCTTTAGTACATGGAAATTAAGCAGCACCGTCCATGTTCTCTTTTTCCTCTGTGCCTGCATCCCTCTGTTCCTCCTTAAGGTTAGAAGAGTTGGGCCATGCAGGTGAAGGTGAGATGGCTGTGAGTGGAGGAGGTGGACCTCATCCCCTCCTTGCTGAAGGTGTCAATACTGGAGACCACAATGACCAGTGCTGGCTTGTGGCCCTCTTTCAGCCTGTGTAAACCCACTCATTGGAACTAGAGTGTCACCATTCATACCATTGAAAAACAAAATGGAAGCTGTGAAAAGACTTGTCTCTGTGTGGATTAGCTTAGTAAACAGTGTAAAAATGGGAAGGAAGGTTTTGTTTCCTGTGCTTGACCAAATCTGGCAACTGTACTCTTCTTCAGACTCGCAGGCTAGGAAATGTTGTCTTCTGGTGCTGGCATGTTTCTATACCCTTTCATATCTCTCTGTATAATTTGTGCATTGTTTACTATGAAACTAGTATTGATGGAGAAAAACACTTTGAGGTAAAACTGTTTGTAATTCTCTATTAGCGTGTACATTTTTTTAAAAAGCTCTGTTTTGTTTACCTCAATTAACTTAATGGAATGGACCAGTAAATGTATTAAAAGACGACTCCTTTACCTAGAATAAAACTTCGTTTTTGCAGCCTTCACCACTGAAGTGATGTGTATACTTATTTTGCTGGGCTATCTTACTGCAGAAGTACCCTTCCCTTAAAATCTAGTCATACTGCTGATCCTGTACTACATCTGGTATTACTTGAAAGTGACTGCTGGAGCTAAGGGAAAGGTTGCAAGTGTGTGTGGGGTTGGGGGTTGGGGACAGGATTGGCAGCGACTTCCTCAGAATAAGGGGATGCATAGTGAGTAATTGACTTCTGCTTGCTACATCCCTGGCTTGAACTGCCTGATTAGATTTCAGATTATTTCAGTTACTGAAGGCTTTTTAATTTGCTTTTACTTAGTCTGGGAGCTTGGAAGCCACTTAATCCTTGTTAATTCAATTAGTATGTAAGTAGACATATAATTTAAGCCCTGATCCTTCTGGAGCATGCCACTCTTTTGAATCATGTTTGGATTTAGCAGCCAACATCTTACACCAATTGCTGTATTGTATGAGGTTCCTATAGGTAGGGATTTCAATCCAGTACATTTTTATTTCTAACACAGGTAATTAACACTGAATATTATCTGGTATCAGTGTCCCTACACCTCTGTAAAGCCCATAGAAGTAGCGTGCTGCACTTAGCTGTTCTTAACCTGTTACAAGAGTAGTATGCTCTGGTAGTGTGAGTTGAAATGCTGCTATCGGCTTTTGAATCATAGATGTCTTCCCAGGAGCTGTGTTAAAGCACTGCTTAGGGACAGTGTGGCAATCTCCCAGGAAACAGGGGTGTGAACATGTGTTCAGGAGTGTTTTATTGTAGAGAATTACTAAAAGTGTCTTAATCTTACATTTAATGTTTTTTACAGTGGTGTTTCTGTGTTCAGTAATCTCTAAAACATTGATTGGCCAGGCTGACCCATCTTCTGTAGCAGTTGGAGAACAAGTGTGTCCTGCTGACAACTGTGTGCATGTGGCTCGTGGGCCCCTGCTTCATCAGCTGAAGGCACAGAGCCCTGAGGTTTCCTAATGAACAGATGGGAAGGAACTAATGAAAAATTGATCCTCTGCTTTCCACTTCCACACTGATTGATGTGTCTAGAAATGCCATTTTCATTTCTACCCTGTTGTCCCTCAGCATAATTGCTAACCAGCCTAGCAGAAAAATGAAATGCTGTGAAGACTGCTGGTGTTCAACAGCCAGTACATGTACTCTGTAAGATGATGTACTGCAGAAATAACAAGGCAAACTTCTTTGTCCTGGGTGAGTTCACTGGCTGAAAGCCTGTGGCATGCTGTGAAATGGAAACACAAATTGAGATGCTTCCCATCATGATAACTGTGGTGACTAATGCTTGGCAAGTTTTCCATTTTGGTAAGTTGAAGAGTTGATTAACACCAAAAGAGGCTTTAGCTGGTACAGCCTCTGTCAGTCGGTCAGAATCTGAAGGGAGCCAGTGGTTGAACGTTGTTTGATGGCCACGATGCTTTAAAGAGCAATAAAAATGCAGGTTACAAGAGAGCTAGAAAACTACTTTCTGAAACTATTGTTTGATTTTTTTTTTTTTTTTTTTTTTTCCTCCCCTCCATCAATTCTTTAGTTTAAAATCACTGTGGTGTCTGTGGCTGGCTGAGAGCTAATGTGATTTCTCTCAAGGATCCGCCAGCCTTGTGTACAAGTAATGATATTGGCAACATTTGTCATGGTTTGGACTTCAAGTCCTAGTAACATGTGTTTGTGCTGATAATGGTGCTAACTTCTATTTGGAGCCTGCATTAAAAAGCAGTTGAGTAGCTAGCAGTGACTTGCTGTTAAAACAGCAGGGTTGTGGTAAGGAACAAGTCACTTTTGCATCTGGAAAGTATGAGGAGGAAAGCAGAGCCAGGGAAATGAGTGTGAAGTAGCCTTCCCCACACCACCAGTCCTGATGACACCAGGTGTCCAATGTGCTAACAAGACCAGAAAGCGAAGCCAAGACAGAACCAATGGTGTAGGACCTTTCCCTGTAGCATTGCTTTTTCTTCCTAAGTGATAATGCTGAAGTCAGTATGCATTACCCATATATATATATATATATATATGCATCACCCATATATATGTGTGTATATATATAAAACCATGTATTAACCATGCCTTTAGACTTATACTTGTTCCTGAAATTCACCTATCAGTTGCTCTGTAGCTGCAGGTTTGGGCAAATTCACCAGATCAATGAGTGAAATGACCGCTTCCTTCACCATGTAATGGTTTCTCTTTGAAAGAAACACCTGAGGGAGACTTTCTACCACAGTGAGTAAGTAAACTGTAATGGATTTTTGAAAGAATGTTTTACTTTGTGTAGGATTATTCCCTCATTCTACTTATTACTATTCTTGTAATACCAAGCATTACATTAGTGTGAAGGCCTTGTCCCCTGGGATTATCAGCTCTTAAACTCTGCTAAATATTCTTCCTACAGCAATTCTTGTTACATTAAACAAGAGAAGACTAACAGCATTGGCTAGATCACTTGCAAGTTTCAATTTTTGAATCTCCTTGGTATTTGTCAACTTATTTCTGCAAAATTTTTATTTCTCCCAATTTTCTCTTTCCTTTCAAGTTTACTTAAAAATAAAATAAAATAAAAAAATCCCACCCGTGTTATATACTTTAGACACAGAATCAGGTAACATTGAGAAAATACAGCATGTCCTTTTGGACAAAACCCTTCCTGTTCCTTACCTCAAAGGGAGGAGAGTCAGGCAGCCAACTAGAAAAGACAAGATGAAACAGAAGCCGCTGTACCAGTTCAGTGTGTTTTGATAGATCTTGTTGTAGACTGTAGATGTCACTACTCCTGTGGTGACTAAAGACAACTGCAGCAGGACAAACACTTTACCTGTAAACCAAGAACATAGTTTTTTACAGGGAGAAAAAACCAGCTCTGGTACATCTTGATGAATTCTGGATCACCACTGTGTGGGAGAGCCATGTGGTCATTGCTTCACAGGCACCAGACAGCATGCGCTTGTATCTGCTTCTGTTCAAGATCAGAATTTAGCGCCTTTTCCTTCTTTTAGGCTGAAGGATGAAAGATTCGACCAGCAAACTGTCTGCTTAACCCATCTAGATGTAGAGGTAACTGCTTGGAAGACTGGCAATAACCTGGGTGGTTAAGTGCTCCTTTCCCTATAAAGTGGAAAAGTAGTTTTGGGCTAGGATCTTCAGGACAGGAGAGATAAGAGAAATTTCAGTCAGTCTGCTTCTGCATTCAGTCAGAATAGTGGTCCACTGGGTTGCAGTATTCCCTGAAATAGGGAGGTGCATGTGATTTAGACAGAGAAAAATGAATTCAAGTTAAAACAGCTTTTGTGCTGAAGTGCACCCTTCTGTTTCTGTAGTGGTAAAAGGGGGAAGGTGAAGTAACCCATCCTGCTGGGATGTGCAAGCTGGGAGCAAGGTCAGTGCTATACAGAGGGCTTGCTGCCCTGGCAGCCTTCTCCAGCTGCACAGCAGCAGCAGCCACCACTGAAGGGGACAGCACTGATACCAGAGGCTGCTCTGCTGCATGGCCCAGCTCCAGAGCAGATCTGCCACTGTGATAGGGTGCAGCCTGCATGGCTCAAGGTGGAGTTTAAAAACAAGGTCAGGATTAATAATTATGACTAATTTGGGGTGTGAGCTGCTACCTGTGTGGTGGGTAGGCAAGTTTGCTATGGAGCATGGTGAGGAATTAACTTACTGACAGAGCAGTATTGTGTTTGTATGGTACAAGGGAAAAGGACTGCTGTAGGAACATGTTTGGAGGAGACTTGAACAGCCAAGGTTCTGAGGTTTTATTTGAATGCATGGCTAGTCCTGTCTGTTGTGTCTAAATCCAGCTCATTGGGGTAAAAATGGTAGCCTTCAATACAGTGCTGTAAAATACATGTATTTTACTGTTTTCTAATGTATTTTTATTATATAAAATTTCTGCTCCTGTTTACCAATAAAGGCTGATTTCTATGCAAAGGTTATACTTTGTTAGTTAAATCGTAGTTTGTCAGGAATAAATTGCCAGGAAACGCTTGAAGATGTGTTTAGAAAGCATAACTGAAAAAAAAAGATGAAAGAAATTCACCCTTTCCAAAGCTGGAAGTAAAAGAAGTCAAATATAAATGATGTAAGTATCATAGTGCTGCAACGCAATGCCTTACTTTTCTTGTTTTTCCCTGGAGTACTGTGTTTTTGCGCAGTACCTCTGGTGTTTTCCTTGCCTTTGAGCTGCACACTGATAATCATCTTTAGAAGCATGTGCTGAAAAATGTGTGGGTGAATGATGTAACTAAGGACAAGAAGTTCGGATGTGACAATCTTGTATTGCAAGTTTCTCTGCTCCTCCCTTCCCATTTGTGGTACCAACTCTTCCAGTTGTATTATGCAGAACACAGATTGTAACAATAACTTACCTCTCTTTATATCTTAGGCTGAATGGAAGGATTTGAGGTTTTTTGACTGGTAAGACAACCAAAGCACTTACCATAAGATGATCCTTCAACATGCTTGGATAACATGGATCTGATGGTTGGTAAAGGGATGAGGGCAAAGAGCATCACTGCCCGTGCTGCAATGCAATGAGCATGTGGTTATCATCAGTACCTGCTTCTTGTTTCCCAACACAATCACCACTGCTTTTGAAGACTATGGGCCTACGGCTTGGGCAGAGACTTTGCTGCACTTTTTCTTGTCCCTTGAGTACCAGAAAAAAAAGTACAGATCTTTGGTAGGAGTGTAGGTCCTCACTCCATCCAAGGGATGCTGGGTAAGCCACCTATTGCTCCCACCAGCAGAGTTACTTTGCCCAAACCAGCTGTAGTCTCTTGGTCTAAGCCTGCAATCCCAGTGTAGATGGAATGTAGCACTGTCCTTTGAGACAGAGACACTGATGATTTGAACCTAACCAGCAGAGAGAGCATCCCATGCTACATGGCTTTGACTTGAACAGTACCCATGTCACACTACAGCTGTGTTCTATTTTGGTGCTTCTGGCTTGCAGTATTTTAGTCTTTCTCTAGTGTGGGAACTTCTAGGGAGCTGGAATTACCTTCCTGTCAGGAGAACCAGCCTCAGTGAAGACTTGGTCCATGTCTAGTGTACCAAGGTGTTTCTGCAATGGAGGGAACAAGCATTCTGTACACTATGTAGCAGCATGTGTTCATGAGGGACTTTAAATATAAAAAAAACCCATTTTTAATTCTTTTAATTTTCTTTTGTAATCATTTCTTCCCCAGCCTGATTGGTGAAATGAACAAAATATCTTAAAAAATTTTGCTCAATGTTTGGCTTAGTACACAAATATAATCTTTCCCTTTAGAATGACTTTGATTTTCAATTTCTTACTCCCTGTAGGGTCAGACAGATAAAGCACTTCAGGCCATTTATCTTAGACCTTTTTCTCTTTCTAGAAGAAAAACCTCAAAGCCATACAGGACACAATACTCTTTTAGATATGAATTAGCCATCTCTTTGCCACAACGGATGCAGCTCTTGGATTTTGCTTTCTGCATCCCTGCACATGCTACCTACTAAATATAAACTTGCCTTTTGTTTGTTGTGGGATGCTGTCCCATATGTTTATACACAGTTTGAGATTTGTACACTACATTATTGTGGTATTTAGTTGCTAGAGTAGCTCCAATATTTCACCATTAAGTTTCCCATCAGGCATAAATGCCTTAATGTAACAAAAATAAATCACATCTTAGGATGTTTGTTTAATAGGAAACCTTTGTCAGTTTTTTTTTTGTTGTAGCCATAAGCTGTATCTCACAAGAAGCAAGTGCTTGGGTGACACAATCTAGTGTGGGACGTCCCTGGCAGGGGGGTTGGAACTAGATGATCTTAAGGTCCTTTCCAACCCTAACCATCCTATGATTAATGCAGTGGTGTGGTCTGACTAGCACCAATACCCAGCAACAATTCCTACTCCCCTGTGGTGTGAGCATTGTTCTCCTACTCTGATCTGGGCTATGACCAAGTGACAAATTACAAGTCAACCAACCTTAAGCTAACCTTGGCAGGAGTGTATGCCTCCTCTGGATATTGTAGGGTGTTGGGTGTCAGAGTGCAAAGGGGGGGGATAGGGGACCCTCTTGGGCACTGCTCCTGTGACGATCTGCCTAGTCCCTGCTCTGAAACTCACAGCGAAGCAGACCAAAAGCCCTTCTTCTGATGCTGAAACACCCCTACCCCTTTCTCAGGATGCACTTGCTTGTGTGAGTGGTTGTTTGACTCACCAATGTAGAAAAGGAATGTCCACCTAACGAAGGCCATGATGAGGATGCCAGCACTGAAGGATACCACTCCGATCATTGTCATGGTTATATCCTTCAGGTATTTGGAGAACACAAATACACCTAGGAAGCTGGTGATGAAGATCACATACCCAGCAGCATTGCCATGTCCAATTTGCACAGCATTCCAACTTAAAGGCTCCCTGAGCAAGAAGAGTGGGAGTACGTTCATCGCACCAACCACAGCAAGGTCATAGAGGATTGCTGCCATAAACAGCATAGTGAGGATGAGTTTCGAGGGTGATACTGGAGTGGAGTTGCTGTTCTTTGTGTGGCCTGGTAGCTGGCTGCTTACCTCCTCTGCACTCTTGGGTTTGGCTGGGCAGGAAGCTGCTGGCTTGGGGACTGTCAGGACAAGTATGCTGTAGAGGAGGCAGAAAGCATAACAAGCGATGCTGCAGCTCACCAGCACAGTGCCCTCTTGATAGTGGTCACTGAAGCCAACAAAGAGGTAGCCGGATGCCATGCTTCCCAGAAAGCCAGAGAGGCCATACACCAGCTCAATAATGATGAGCCGAAGGGACCTTTTGATCTCGGAGGAGCCCAGGGATCCCAGAGTCATGACACCTGCCCAGAGCGTGGTGAAACCGCCCATCAGCCCATTGAAGGCAGCAGCCCCGTACATCACCTCGATCGGCCAGCCCCGCAAGAGCAGGAGGAGCAGGAGAGATTTGGAACCCAAGTAGCCAAGAAGAGGGAGGCAGATGGGGATCTTCCGATGTATCCTGTCCCCCAACTTGGACAAGCCATATGCTGACACCAGTGGGCTCAGGCCCAGGACAAGGTTGTAGATGATATAAAAGTTAGAGACAGCCTTTTGCTGAGCATCTTCCAGCACATGGGAAGGAGCAGTGGCGTTGGTCTGGTTGTAGTAGTTCTTCACCACCAGCAGCAGCGCCGTGTCGTAGAAGGCGCTAGCCACTTGGGAACCTGCGACCACGGGCTCAATCCACGTCCTCATCACGGTCACCCCCACCATGCTGCTGGCGACGTCCTCTTCCTGGGGAGAGCTGTTTTCAGGGAGATGTGCAGGAGGAAATGGCTCTTCAGAAGCTCTGCTCTGGAGGCATGCTTAGGGAGGAGCAGCAAAGGGAAGAACAAAAGCTGGGCTGAGCAGGATCAGAGCGTTGTGCAAGAGATGATCTGGCCAAGAGGATATCTGCACCTCGCCTTGCTACACACACTCGCACACGCACATCCCTGTGCTGCTCTGATCCCCGGCTCACAGACAAGAGGCTTTTGTACAGCTGGAGAACGCCCTGCGCTCCCGAAGCGCTGCTGCTCCTCTTCCTGGTGTAGTTTCAACAGAGGTCAGATGACCCAGTGGAATTTCTCTCTCCAAATTTAGGAAGTGAAAATGATCAAGTAATTGCTGCAATTTGGAGTGATGGTTTCGGGTTTGTTTGGTTTGGATTACTTTCCCCCTCCCCCCACCTTTTGGCATCTTCACCTGTTTCCAAGTGGTTGCGGGAGGGGAGGATGGATGTGTGCTTTTGCTCAGGCAATCAGTGAATTCCCCTTACTACAAGCTCTTTTTCCTTTCTTCTACACAAACACGTTGCTGGCTGTTTTGCTCCTAAGTGGTCCTGTCTGCCCTGTTGCTGCGCTGTGCCCATTATGTCGTTGTTTCAATAACTCACTCAGGAAATTACACCAAAAAGCCTGGTTTTGGTAACCTGCCTGCTGCAGCTGCCACTCTGCCTGCTGTGTCCTTTGGCTTTGCAGTGTGGGAATTTCTAAGAGAAAGGAGAAAAGTCCCAGTTTATCCAAAGGCATCGGCAACCACTGCACCGCAGTGATCTGAGCTGAGTCGGAGGCCGGGAGGGGTGAGAAGCCACCCCTGGGGAAGTGATTTCCAGTCCCGGCTCCTGAGGCCGGTAGCTGTGCCTCTCTGCAGTGCTGGTGCCACATGCAGCTTTGCAGCTTGGGGAGTCGGCCTCTGATACTGCTGCTGCCCGGGGCGGGGGGGGGGGGGGGGGGCAAGTGAAACGACTCACCCCAACCGGCTCCGGTGCCTGTGTGTGACTGGAACAGGATATGGCGCAAGCAGGCTGCCAGCTCCAAGGAAGATGTTTGCAGTCCCAGCTGCAGGAAATACTTGGGGGATATTTGGCAGCCTCAAAAATGCTAACTTAAATTGTAGTGATCTCATTCTGCACTGGGTTAATAAATCATAACAGGCAGAATAACAGTCTGTTCTAGGAAGATTTATGATGAGTAGTTTAAAAAATAAATTAATGATTAATTTGCGAGAACAATGTTAAAGCCTCCATCTGTTACACTCTATTATTCAGGTGACATTTACTCAATGCCTGTGTACTCATGGCTCAAGAGTTTTATTTTTTTCATTCTTAGGTCAGTTGTGCAATAATTTTTTTTTTACATTTCAATGCAAGGAAGAGAAATTCCAATGAGTAACGGGGAAAGGGGTGGGGAATTGTCTGCTAGAAAGATTCGCTGCTAGACAATCACAGTTTCACCACAGAATTTGTTTTTTGGTCGGGCCAAAAGACTCCAGAAGCCAGATGTATAATATAACATGGGTTGTTCCAACAGTTGGCTTTTTTATCATTTTTTCCCCCACATTTTCTGCAGAAGGTGTCCAGTTTCTTTCAGATTTTATTCAGAAGTGGGACAAGTCTTTTTCTCCAAACCCTGGAATATTTCCAGAGGATGGAAATTCCAGACAACCTTAATGAAAACCCCACAGTATCAGCCTATGACCAGTTTAAGCAACAAACTCCAACAAAGGAAATGCCACATTTTGCTTCACCCGGGTGTTATTAATAGGTGAAATTGTGTGTTGGAACAATACAAAGAGAAAAGATGATTATATTTGAAAATCTGATAATCAGTAGAGGGGTTTTATGTATTAGGAAAGTTTGAGAACAAGCTGAAATTCTTCTATTGTGTATCTTAGTTACTTTATAACTAAGCATTACAATGGTAGCTATAACGATGAGCAACTAACATAGCCATATATGGGGAAGGGTATATGGGTGGATCCAGGGGAGTATTGTGAAACTCTACCGAAGCAGAACTCACGAAGGTACCAGGAGTAGTCAAGTGAAAATAAGAGAATGATGGTGTCCACATAATGGTTGGGACATGTCCAAGAAACAGAAAAGTGAACAGGATGACCTGAGGAAGACTTCTTACTTCATCCGAGGAAGACTCCTTACTTCATCAGGACGACCACCAGAGGGGCGCTGCGCAAGCGCAGAAGAGGCTGATGTCGTAATAGACTGATGTGGCAATCCTTGATGCATATGTATTAGTCAATGGTGTAATCTGTATTGAATATGTATTAGTGATGACATTTTTAGTGTATAAATTGCAAGTGCGACGTGACGGGGTTGAAGCCAGATTTGGGCGCGTGCCCCTGGTTTCCCAGCGCTGCAATAAAGCACTTCATATAACCATTCCGGTGGTTATGTGTCAGTTCTTACGCTAACACAGGGAGTCCTTTCTCATCCACCAGACATTAGAGGGAAAGATACAGGACTTTGTCCCATTCAAGCTTCAGTTTGGGACGTTGGCTATCTTGGAGTATAGAGGTACGTTACAGGCACTGTGCTTGAGAGATTGCAGATCTGCTCAACTCTTAAATAAGGTGGTTTTTTTTCCTCCAGTCTTTGTTGCATGCACAGGCTGTCTGGCTTATTCATCTGACACTCTTGACAACTAGGTGATATGATTTTATGCTTAATGCTATTCAGGCCTAGATAGCTAATGACTTGTGCTGAGTGCCATTAGTGATCTCGTGACTTACTTACATGTTTCCAGGATATTCTAAGTGTTCATTCACATTAAGTGTGCTTTTTAGAGCTAGTTTTGTGGAAGGATAGAATTTCATGTCATTAAATGCAGAACACTGAGTGCCAAAGTAAGAGTTTAACACAGGCTCTGGGATATTTCCGACTGCAAAATACTTTTCATGAATAGCATATTCATTTGATGCCACAAGGACTTCAAAATTACTACCATCAGCTTTTCCATGAAGCCCAGTTCTCAAATTGCTAATATTTATAGGGACATTTGCATCCACTTTAAAATATGCGGGTGCCACATAAGCACAGCGGAGCCTGAAGAGCCTGAAGAGAGTGGCCCTTGACATTTAAGAAAAATGCATGCGTTGGGTCACAGGGTCTATTCTAAAAGCAAAATTACACTCGTGTAGCCTGTTGGAAAAGGAACACACTGTTTTAGGGCATTCCTCTCTAGAGGAACTCCTCTGCCTTGAAGCCCATCAGAGGCCAGGTCAGCTCTGTGTCTCAGCAGCTCTTGTACATTTGTCAGCCTGGCCAAATTAAGCTGTTTAATGTCTCCCCTTGGCAATGTTATACATTCCTATGTGGTATTGGTTGTGTTTTTTTTTTTTTTTTTAAACCATTTATGATAGTTCTAGCACTTTTTCTGTCTCACAAGGGTTGCTGTAGGGATTAGTATGCTGGGACAGCCAGGCTTGGCGGGTACCAGCATTTTGGAGCTTGCCCTCCAGGACTGTTTGTCTGCAAAAGTCCTTTTGACATCCAGGACTGCAATCCAATGTGTGTGCATAAGCCTTCTTCATCTCCCTTGCCTAAGCCTGGTGATGGGATCTACGATTTACAGTCTCTGGCTGGCAAGGCATTTCACCTCTGAGATGATAAATGAACTCTGTAACTACTCCTCCTTGGTACATGCTGATCATCCTGATGCACATGGAGTCTTTGTGGCAGTGGCAGCGCAGGGCAACATGACTGAGGAGTGGGAAGTGCCTAGTTCTGAGCCCAGATGGAGCTGTGGTCACGTTACAGCGTTGGAGAGAGGGGGAGCTGGTTGAAAACACTGTGGAGAAACAGCTATTTCAGTGATGGCCTGTTTTCCTTTAGAAAATATGTCTGCATCAGAAATGACCACAGACTGTAATGACAAGCTATGCTCTTTCTCTCTGTGGTGTGGGAGGTTGGCTTCCTCACTGACTGCATTTAATTATATATTGTCCCTGTCTTCACAAGGCATGTGGTTCTGCTTGCAGAACATGGGGGGAGGGTGGAGGCGGCACAGAAAGCTGTGTGCAGAGGACAGGGGGAGTGACTCCTGGCAGCTGCTGCATTACCAAAGGGATGTAACATCCTGGTCCAGGGCTGTTGTCTTGTGGAATCCAGAGCTGCTGCTGACGGATGCTAACGCCTGGATATAAAAGGCCACCTCCGCAGCCCTGTTTCAGGGGCTCTGGAAAACAACCTCCAGGTTGTTAGGAAACTCTCAGCGCTGGTGTCAGTGTCTGTAGCATGACATTGCTGTAATAAAATGCAGGACCATGCCCTTAACAGGTGTAGCTGAGGGTGTTCCATACACTGAGACCCCTGGGCCAGCAGTGTGGCATTCAGGAGGTGCAGCACCACCAGACACGTTGGGATCACCTATGGGAACATCTACTTGCATGTGCTCATGAGAGGATGAGGAAGCCCAGGCCATAGGCAGGGTGAGCACATGGTGCCTCACTCCCCCATGCCTTGAGGCCTCACGTGTTGCCCCACACAAGCAAAGCCCAGGGCAGTGTGCAGGCTGCAGAAAAGCTGGAAAACGGATTTGCTGCAGGGAGAGACCTCATGGGGTCTGCTGGCCTGAAACACATGAGGAAGGGTGATCCTATGCCAGGGTAGGGGAGGTCCATCAGCCTTCCCCCAGAAGCAGCTGGCTGCCCCGCTTTGGGAGCATGGGAGAGCTGGAAACAGCAGCGCTGCCCGGCTTCCTTTGTGACACACACTGGCTGACCAGTGAAACAAGGAGGCACAAAAGTACAAAATGTAATCAGTTCTAAGTAAAGTTAAGTTTGATGGGTTTGTAATGGAAAATAACTGCGGTGCTTGAAGGTAGCTGGCATAGTTTCAGGCCCTCAGGACCTCAGTGCAAAAGGTGTGAGAAAAGCAGAATAGAAGGACAGGACCTGGGGATGGGGAGTATCCCGGACTAGCAGATGTCCGGGATGAGAGCAGTTAAACTAACTGATAAGTAGAAGGCCAGGATGATTGCCATGTCTGTAATGTTAATTAAGCTTGTTGGGAAAAGTAAACGACCCTTAAAGACCACCACATTTTGTATGCATGCCGGAAACCTTTTGGAAGATGATGTAATATGCTCAGTGACCATATAAGGATGACCTGTGTAGCAATTCGGGGACACACGTTAGGAGGAGCTATCCCCCGTGTCTCCCGGCGCCGCAATAAAGAATACCTGCTTGTCAACTTGAAACTCTGCTGGCAAGTTTGTTCCT